CTTTTAGGAGTTAACGTGGTGTGGTCTTTTTTCTCCCTTGCTATTTGACCCTCCCCCCCTCTCATTCTACCTCCTCCCCCACTAACTCTCAGCGCTAAAGCAACTCACCGGGCATGCGATACGCAGATTATCTCTATGTAAACTAAAACGAAACTATGTTTTTTTTATTTACAAGGTAAGGTCCCACTTAGCTACATAGCTATTTTTCAGAAGCGACCTGGTCACAAAGGATGGCTCAACGAAGTGGCCTTATCATCACGTGGAAATGTATAGCAGCCAAATGCTTAAATTTCGATTTAAAGCTTAAATATACGCTGCCAAGCTTGGTGGTGTTCATTCAGACGCTGTCTTTCCGACAGACCTGTTCTTCGCCTGAGGACGGCTGCTTGCGTTGTGACCGAAACGTCGTGAGATTTGTATTTTATTGTTTTATTTTTATTATTGTATTATTTCCCTTCTACGTGACTTTACCGAAAGAACCAACAAGAAGATCAGCCAAATGCTCTTAGCGCACGTTTATTGTATGCCTCCTGTCAAGTAAACCTCAATGTCAATGCTTGAGGTGTCATTTGAAAGCGCGCGCGGTTTTCGTAAGTCATCGGCGTCATCGTGCCGTTTGACGTTGACGCCTGACACCCGTTGCCGTTGTGCGCGCCCCGGGCGTGTTGCGCTTGACAAAAAATATTGGGGTTCCGTGCGACAAAATACGCGAGTTCTCGCGCCGCGTTCGAATTCGCCGGCCCAGCAACGCGCTCGGAGAACGTTGCCACGTGGTGCAGGAGTGGACACGTGAATTGCCGGTAACCTGAAGGGATGTTGAATAATGGGGGGAAATGTAAAGGGTGTGCCGCCTTCAAATTGCTTGATCACGCCGTTGCTGATAGAAACCCCTCCCTCTAACTAGAGGGTGCTCTAAAGGGTATTTGGCCTACTCTTCCATGCCGGCCAGATGTCTGGCAAGGGGCTGTGATAACCTTTTGTTATTGTTTGTAATTTTTGTTTTGGTGCCAACTCTTAATTTGTTTATTCATTTTCTATTTTGCTGGGTAGTCGTAAAGTTTTCGTTCGCTTGGTATGTACGTGTGTGTGTGTTGGGCTTCTTTCGCGCCGTGCGTAGCCAACCATGTTGTATGGGATTTGGTCCTCATATATAAAATCAATGCACAGCGTTGTGGGATGCTGTTGGCATGAATGGCGTGAAATAAAATGAAAGTATCGTTATTATTAGAGGTCTAAGCACCCACACTTTACCCCATGACACTTGACATGCCAATTAATTAACGAACTAAGGTGCAGCTCTTTAAACTGCCTTGTAGTGAGATCTGGAGATATATATTTTAAACAATACGTGCCACATTGCTTAAACTGCCATGCGAGGAGATCGAATCGCACTTGCGAACCGCTGGATCGTAAGTTGCGGTGGTGTTGCCGACCGTGACGCCAAAGCAGCATGTAAAGGTCAAACAACAGCAAAAAAAATCTCAAAAGAAAATTGTATTGGAAATAACTAATAGGGCATGATGTCATGCCTAAACATTATATATAAAGGCATTTAAACATGAACAGAGAAGAAATTTGGGATTATATCCAATCCCCCCCCCCCCCCTCCAGACACACACATAAAAGTTTGTTTGGCTAATCTGTCTCTATGCAGATGCGAGAGGCCACGCCAGCGTGCGCATTAAGCGTGCGTTGCGTTACGGAAAATATTACTGAACGAGTGCTCGAAGGAATGTAAACCTCACACTGATGGGCAGGCAAGCGGGCGGGCAGGCTGGCGGGCGTAGGGGCAAGAGCATTGATCCCACAAAACATGACATCACCCTGAAGACGCCCATAATTTCCTTGGAACCCCCGGTAGCTAGGGAAGGTTGTTTGTGCGAGTGACTGCCGATGCCTGGCGGTGCTGTTCGGCGATGGACTCGGTCCACTTCCATAGGCTCACGGCATTTTGTCGACCCGCTCGCACTGATGAGGGATCCCCGGGGTGATGACGAGGAGCATAGCTGTGGGAGACCACAGAAGTGCGTGATGGATTTCACTGGGCAACACACTTTTTCTGGCATAAGGTATTCCAACGGTTTTAAGGTGATTTTGCGGTGCTGATTCCAAATCTGGCATCAGTTTTTGTCTATCACATCAGGTTTTTGAGATATCAAATATTGCATTTTCAATAAAAACTGCAGAAGATAAAAATATTAAATAAATGTGGATATCCACATAAAATGATATTATAAACACACTATCATAAAAATACAGCACCATATTTTAACACTAAAGCAGTCACTGACTCGCAACAACTTGCAATCATAAGTGACAGAGTTAATTTCTGGTAAAATCAATGAAAATGGGGTATACCGATAGCATAAAAATAATGTGATAGAGCAAATCTGAGATCATATTTGGAATCAGCACCCTGAAATTAGTCTAAAACAGCTGCAAAAGTCCAGGCCAGAATTATTTTTTGTTGACCAGTGTTTTCCTGCACCGCCCTGTGTTACTAACCATGTGGCCTATAACACCTGTTATGCATGTCGGCCATGAAAGCAAGGTCCAGTTAGAACCAACCGTTTCGATTCTGAGATGTAGCTGTTTTAATTAATATTATTATTGGAGTCTACATTATGACTTAATATCTTTGGTTTGCCTGTGTGTTGAATCTGTTTGTGCGGTATGCATGCCAGGGGTTTACCCCTGGTTACTCCATTCCCTCACCAATTCTAATTGGCCAAGCAACCCCGATGCGATACTCTTGTGGAAAAAAAAGCATTGAGATTCTGCGAGGCTTTTCTGAGTCAATAAATTGCATTATTTAACGACTGTTAGCATATCACTTGCAGCGCATCGTTAGTATCGTTGTACCCACGTGGCGAGATGTTAACTACCTCACTCGGTATACAGGAGGTCGTGAGTTAAATCCACAGACCCTGACGCCTGCTGTATATTTGGAGTTTGAATGTCTCTCTCCCCATGGACGCGTGGACTTTTCTCCAGGGCTTCCGATTTTTTCCTCCACATTTAGAATAAACATGCGTTTAGAGTGTTTGGCTGCTATAAATTGACACGTGACAAGCCACTTAGTTGTGAGCTATCATTTGTGGCCAGGTGGCTTCTAAACGAGAGTGATACAGCTCAGTGGGCCTTACCCGGTAAAAACAAGTTTAGTTTAACATAATCGCATAATGATTTTCACGAATTATAATTAATCGGTTCTCACTCGATGCATCGCGAGCACAATAATCGATTTCAATCGACAGATCACTGTGGTGTTGGTGCCTAGTACGACGTGGGAGGGTAGGAGAACGTGCGTATCACGGAGGGACCAGAGTGACAATGATTTATTGCCGTTCATTTAACGCAGCAGTCGGGAACCTATGGCTCGCGAGTCATATATGGCTCTTCCAGTGACGGCATATGGCTCCCAGACAATTTTGAGTTGAAAAAAATAATAATAATGAAAAAACAAAAAATCAGTTTGGAACTGATTTTAAAATACTTGTGATATTGCTTAATAATACTGTGTCATTTTAAAGTAAACAGAAATTAGTTTTGAAGATAAATTTCACGGGTCACGCCTGCATGAAGCTCAACCTCACCACGTATGAACCAGACTACAAGGCCATCAGCAAAACCATGCAGCACCAGAAGTCGCATTAAAAGTAAGACATATTTAATTTATTAAACGTTAAAAATACTATATGGCTCTCAATGAAATATATTTAGAAATATTTGGCTTTTATGGCTCTCCCAGTCAAAAAGGTTCCCGACCCCTGATTTAACGTATTCAACAAACTATTCGAAGCGCCTAGAAGTGAAAGCAGTAACTTTGCACGTGCATGCCACGTGGGATCTCGCAATGCGGTGGTTGGTTTTCCAGCACGTGTGTGTGCGCGCGCGTGGTGCTCGCTCACAGCAGTTGCCCGAACAGTCTGTGAAGGTCATATGGGGGATCTTTGTTTCGTGCGTGCGTGGGAACTGTGGATAAAATACGTACAGATGTACAACTCAAAAGAGAGCGTTCCACCCCGTATTGTTCATTTCAGCAGTAGTACATTTTAAGCGGAGTGTGTACACTCCGTGCGATTTCTCAGCTCTCGCGCTGAATGTCATAACGTGGTGGGAACGTGGCATAAGAGCAAACATCATTTTGTATTTGTTTGTGTTGGAGACACAAATGCGTCTGTTGTATTTATCGTGGCACCTGAAATGCTGGCATCTGAGATCGCGCGAATACTTTTTTTCCCAGTTATATTCCATTTGTGCGTTTGCCGTTATTGCATGAGACATCGTGTCCCATTTGAAACTCTCGCTGAGCGACACACCACCCTGTACGTCTCGCACCACGGACCACATGGTAACACCAACTACAGCAGCCCGCTTCGATAAGTCACTGTCAACCAGGCCGTCCACTGGCTCACTCACTCGCCTCGACATGAATGTATCAACGCCACTCACTGCGACAGAAGAACCCTGAGTGTTAGGGAATGGTCATCCGAAGCAGAGGCCACCACATCTGAGATCTCTTCATGAGAGATTTGCTATCATCTTCCCGCACTCCCGACTCTCGAGCAAATTGTCACATGGCAGTCAAGACAATTTATATTTAGTTTCATCTCAGAGCTGAATTTAACGTGATGGTCATTGGTGAGTGGGCTAAGATGATCAACTCACAACACTTCAAAACCCAGTTTATTCATGGATGGTCGAAGGCTGGAATTGGTCCTAAGCTCTTAGTAGTGGCGGCTTGAGGACTGGTCCCAGAGGCACCAGTATACCTCATGTTAAACATTTATATAATATGCTGGTGTTATTTTGTTGTTGTCATAGCTTAGCCCTGAAATGTGACTGCATTGGAATCACGTGGTTTTTTTATTGAAATTGTTACAAAGTTATTTGAGAATGCGGGGAAACTCAGGAATGTATTTGCGACAAGTGTCTCACTCGCATTTGTGTGTGGCAAGTAAAAAAAAATCTGTACACTGCCATATTTTCAAATCCAATTTAATATCATTTGAATATAACAGACATTTGTTTTCCAGAGGATGCTGGTTTGGCCTCCCAGCACAGCAGTAATGGTACCACTTTCTTAAATCCCCCCCACACCACCTCTATTCACCGAGCAGTAAAAATATGTGCACCCCAGTTTGTCTATTGGCAGATTACGTGTGGTGGGGTAAAGTGCGGGTAGTCCCACCAATTCCAAGGCGTATGACCAGTATGGAAAGCTAAATACCTTCGAGATAATCTCTCTAGAGCTCCCGCTGGTGGAAGCCCTATTTCCAGCAGCGCTCAGAGCAAACAATTGCAGGGCTGCACTTTCCCCATCATTTTCGAGATTTCGAAAATCTAGAAAAGTGGCTCGGCTAGAGGGAACCTCGAACCTTTTTTGTGGGCTAAACGCAAGAGCGGCATTCATAGTAATTTTGCTGATGTCATTTCATTCGCAGGCTCAGTACGATTCTTCTTCATTTCGACACATCAGATAAGAAGAACCGCACGAGACTCCAGTGCAACTCCTTGCCAGGCTTACCGTCACCACCGCACCTCCTCACCCGCCCCCCCTCCATGCGCCGTCGAGCGACCAGCTCGGCCGGCGCCATGGCCCTCCTTCCAAAGACTCCATCGCTGCTGGCCGCCATCGTTTTGCTGGCACTTGCAGCCAGCACGTCGGCCGCCAGCCTGACGGTGGAGACGCACCGGCACGAGCCGGGCAGCGTCGGCGCTGCCCCACACGACTTGCCGCACCGCAACCTGACGTTGGGCGGCGGCTCGGACGAGCAGCAGCTGCAGCCCATCGTCTTCCACCACGTGTACAACATCAATGTCCCGCCGGGATCGCTGTGTGCTGTCGACCTGGACGCTGGCCCCCCCGACGGCGCTGGCTTCGACTCCAGGTCTGTGGTCGGCAGCGGTAGCGGCGACGGCGACATCGGCGGCGGCGAGTCAGACCTGGGCACCTTCACGCAGAAGACGCACGAGACGGGCGGCCAGGTGGTGTTCACGCACCGCATCAGCATCCCCAAGCGGGCGTGCGGGTGCAGCACGGAGGGGCTTCCCGACCTGCGGGAGCTCGTGCGGCGCGTGGAGCTCATGGAGCAGGAGATCTCGTCGCTGCGCCAGCAGTGCTCCTCTGCCGCGTGCTGCGGGGCAGCGCCCGGAGCCGTAGGTCCGTCATGTGTTGTCCAATTTCAATGGGGCAGATCAACAATACAGTTAAAATCTCGCGGTGGCGAGATGTTAACTACCCCGCCTGGTATACACGAGGTCACGGGTTCGATCTTGACCCTCACGCCTGTATACATGGAGTTTGCATGTCTCTCTCCCTGTGGTCGCATGCATTTTTCCTCTGGGTCCTCCGGTTTTTCCCCTCCACATTTTCAAATCAATATGCCTGTGGAGTATTTGGCTGCTATAAATTTTCCACATGCGACAAGGCCGCTTCATTGAGCTATCATTTGTGGCCAGGTCGCTTATGAAAAAGAGCGACATAGCTCAGCGAGCCTTACCTGGAAAAAAAAAAAATAGTTGAGTTTATAGTTTTAAAAGTTAAATTAGACGACCTCCCCCCACCACCGCTACCCGACTCCGTGGACTGCCCTGGGATTCGTTGTCACCATGTGCCTGGCATCATCGCCCACCCCCCATCCTATTTCACCTTCACGAAAAAGTTATTGAAGTAACCGGAGAAATTTTCGCCAAAACACATTCATGTAAATTTGAAACCGCAGGGCTGGAATGTGGTTTAAAGCCTGTGAAAAGGGAAAAAACCTTAAACATATACTCCTTTCGGCAAAGGGTGATTCTACATTTTGTTGCCTTCATAATTAGCATTGTCTAGAGCGTGACGAAACAATCTAATGCATATTCGTAATTTTTGTAAACTAGTAGTTTTTTTTACTTTTTTGGCCTGTTTTATTCAACATTAGCGCCACGTAGTTTCCACTGAAATTGTTGGCTACTTAGGCCAATGAATACCACACTCAAGTAGATGTTCATAGAGTTTTAGGTTTTAAAATGTCTGCACGAAACCTTTGACCAAATATTTGCGATTTCAGTTACTCATGAAAGGGATAATTGCGTGACATTTTGCCTTTTTCCTGCAAATATATATCACAAGTTCCATGACCCTTTTCCACAGTGAGCAGCAGAAGGTCATTTTACCAAAACATTCGCCAACTGCCGTATATTTTTTAACTGTTATAAAACAGCGTCCATTGCAACGGCAACAGTTGCATAGTTTGCTTCTACACCAACCCCTACGCCAGTCTCCGACTCTCCGTTCACTCGACCCAACATCCACCGGCGGTGCCCACCCTCTTTTGCAGGTGGCACAGACATCGCGTCGCCCTGCAACGGGCACGGCACCTTCAGCACCGAGTCGTGCGGCTGCGTCTGCGACAAGGGCTGGACGGGCAAGACGTGCTCCCAGCCGGCGTGCCCCAGCGACTGCGGCGGGCGCGGCACCTGCGTGGACGGCGTCTGCGACTGCGAGGAGGGCTTCGGCGGTCCCGACTGCGGGCAGGCCACCTGCCTCAACGACTGCAGCAACCGCGGCGTGTGCGTCAACGGCGTCTGCGTCTGCGAGCGGGGCTTCGTGGGCGCCGACTGCTCCCAGCCGGGCTGCCCCAACGACTGCAACGGCAGGGGCCGCTGCGTCGACGGCAAGTGCTTGTGCGCCCGGGGCTTTTCGGGAGAGGACTGCCGCGAGTCGCGGTGCCCCAACAACTGCAACAACCGCGGCCGCTGCGTCAACGGACGGTGCGTCTGCCAGAGGGGCTATGGCGGCGAGGACTGTGGCGAGGGGGGAGCGTGTGCCAACGACTGCAGCGACCACGGGAAGTGCGTGGCCGGGAGGTGCGTGTGCGAGCCGGGGTTCACCGGCCCCGAGTGCAGCGTGCTCAGCTGCCCCAACGACTGCAACGGGCACGGCTTCTGCGACAACGGCATCTGCGTCTGCGACAAAGGCTTCGTCGGGGAGGACTGCAGCACGCGTGAGCTCCGCGAGACTGCCCCCCCCCCCCCACCCCCGCTTTTGTGTTTGTGCATCGGCGTTTGCGTTGCCGTGCCGTTGAGATGGGGTCCCCCCCCCCCAACCACTGTTTTGGGTGTCATGGTGCACATCGTCAATTGTGCTGTAGAGATGAAGTTGAGAAATATTCGATGTGCCACTTGGTACCTCTGCGCTAGCAATGAGTCCTAACTGCTGAGATCCTGGGTTTGACATGGGTCTCATCCACCCGTGTAGCGAGTTGTTATTTTAATAAAAAATGACAGTTTTACTGCCGTGAGACAAATATTTATCCTGCAAGGCACGTGGGAAAGTACAGCATCTCTCTTGTAGATGAAAGTGGTCACTTGAGGGAATCTCAGAAATAGTTCTATAACATCTCCTTATATGGGCCGTTCTCCGTCACGTGACAATGCAGTGCTTAGCGAGAGTTCCACATGGATTATTTGTCTTTTAAGACTTTTTTTGTCATTCAGTTATGGTGCTAACGCATTGTCAGCATTGCTACTCGATTCTCACAACTGTAATGACTTCCTGTAAATACTGTGATATGAGCAACATATTAGTTGATACTACGTAATATATATTACATACCCTCTGGTGAATAGCCTACATTGCACGTGATCTCGTTAGGTCTCAGAATCTTAGCAGGTTTCGCGCCTGGACAGTGCATGGATGGGCTTCCACCATGCATATGGCAGTGGGGCTATTGGTTGGGGAGTAGAATCCATTGTTGTACTATACTTCTTGGCTTCCGCATCTAGGCTCTCAGCCTTCACCAACCCCCACTGATCGGCGTCATGAAGCATGGTCAAACAATCCTCTTAACCCTCGTAATACAAAGATGGCCCTCATCCAGCAGTGGAATGACAAAAGGGCTGTACGTATACACCGTACATGTAGTAAAATAAAATATCACATGAACGTAACGCTGCATAAATAATATATTTTTATAAGTATGCATAGCCTACAACCTAAAGAAATGTGCAAGCTTTTTGAATAATTTACAACCGATTAACAATTCATGCCATGTCAGTTACATGGGTTGTTTGACTATACTTCACCATGATAGTCAAAGCACTGTGGTGAACAGTTCAGATATCACATGCCACTGATGCTAGCCGTGGCTGAGAATCGAACTTGCCTTGCGGGTTTCATGACACAGATTGCCAACCGCTGCACCACCGTTCCACCCCATGCGACCATATTATTATCAACGTTCATTTACCAAGAAAAGCCTCACCGAATTTTCAAGGCTCCTCTTTCAGAGAAGGTCCCTGCTAAGTTTCACATTCGGGGGGCAACGACCGCTATGGATGTTACTCTGTTCTGAGTACTTCACCGCCGGTTTCACAAAAAGTGGACCGAGACGCTGCTGGCACGCAGTGGCCTTTTTTTTCCTTTTTAAACAATAGTCACGCAGACGGCGCGCATATTTTTTTTTACGATTCAATACGCCCGCAGTATTAACCAGGGTCGGCCAAGTGGCTCAGACCACGGAGCTCCGCAACAAGCGACACATCGCACGACCGCCCCCCCCCCCCCCCACTGACCTTGTGGAGATTAAATGTGAGCGCTTGTGTCTTTCCGTTTTCAGCTTTCATCGGCCCCAAAGAAATGTCCTTCAATTACATCACGGAGTCTTCAGTGCAGGTGGGGTGGGCAGCTCTACCCTTCCCCGTCGAGAGCTGGGAGATCACGTTCACGTCCGAGGTGAGTCGAACGGCGAGTACGGGTGCCGTTTCGGCTGACAAAGGTTGCCTCAGGACGTGCTGCGTTGGTGTCCGTGGCTGCGTGCTGTATACACAAGCCCTCTGTTGTGTTGTCGTTTGCGTCGGCGTGCTCGTTGGGCACGACGTCCGACGTTTCACCCCGTGTGCCGGAGGCATCTTCAGGAACCGCAGAAGCTGCCCAGCACGTGGATCGAAAGGAGCTTGCCGAACAACAAGCAGTACAACCCACGCACACCGACGATTTAGCACGCTTGCCTACGTACTTTAGTGGGGTGTCTATCAGTGGATTATCCTTTATTCACGATTATTATCATCAGCTTTTGTCAATCCACTGCTGGATGAGAGCCTCCCCATATCGTTGTGGGCCCAAGATGTTACTCGACCATGATTCACCAGGCTGGTCAGTGATGGGGTTTCTGAAGAAGGCAGGAAGAATAGACATCAGAGCACATAGTACAATCCAATAATGGTAGGAAAAGGGAGGGGCGAGATTTATGAAGGGGGAGAATGGTTAAGGTTTTAAGGACGAGGACGGGAATTAGTAGAGGGATGCGCCATTAAAAAAGGATGCGCCATTCATGCAAATTGCATCTCAGAATCGCTGAGGAACCACAGACACGAGCTGGAAGGCTTGCTACCAACAATTGCACTGCAGTTCTCTACAAATTTATTACATCTGGATGGAAACCAGGGAGCGCCTTGAGAAAACCTATGCATGCAAGGGGGCAAACACTCTATCCCAAACAGAAGGGACAGGTGATATTAGTCCGCACTTGCTGAGCGGCAGAACCAGGGTATGGCACCTCCTCGATGCCCTCGGGGAGGAAGTTTCGCAACCTTTATCTGGTCCACCAACCCTCAGCCTCCACAGTGCTGGATTACAGGCGCGCTTCGACCACCGCCCGGTGTACTTGGTGGTCGCCCATCGCAACACCCTGCCCAGGCTCAAAGCCTGCTTAGCTTCTCAGATGTCACGAGGTCAAGTGCATTCTGGGTGATTTGTTCACCGGCCTAGTCGGACAATGATGTCCTAAAATACTCTTTGGTTCTTTCGGTAAAGTCACGTAGGTAGAAAAATAATAGATCACGACGTTTCGATCGCAACACAAGCAATCGTCATCAGGTGAGACAACCACAGCAAGAAACAACTGCTGAAGTAGGCGAGAGACTTGCCGTGGCACGAGGTTATATAGGCCTCGGCTGCAGGGGAGGAGAGAGAAGGGGGGAAGAGGCGGGGCAGAAAGTGGACTCCGCAGCACAGAGGTCGCAATCGGGTACCCGATACCCGTACCCTACCCGATACCCGGCTACCCGTACACGGCCGGGTACGGGTACAGGTACCCGTTTGTGACCCTGGTGTGGCCGGGTACGGGTACCGGTAGGCCGTGAGTCACTGGTGAGTAAACGTTTGTCACTCATTTCCCAACGTCTTGTCTCTTCTCACAATTCAAGTTCCTAGAATCAATCCACCCGCGCCTGCAACATGACTTCATCCCAGAGGTCGCAATCGGGTACCCGTACCCTACCCAATACGGCTGGGTACGGATAGCCGTGTAGAGTACGGGTACCCGATTGCGACCCTGGTGCGGCCGGGTACGGGTACGGGTAAGGAATCAAAACCCGTTTGCGACCTCTGCCGCAGCAGCACCCGGGTCACTGAAGTAAAGTGGGTCACCGCAGCAGCACTGCTGCGATGTCTTAAAATCTTAACGCGCTGCTGTGGAGCAACAGCGTGTGTGTGTGTGGAAGTAGGGGGAATCAACGGATTTCGTCGGGCTTTCCACCAGTTACTTTGTAATCACCACCCTCTTAAGCCCAATTGTCTGTCCAGTTGGCTACTATACCAACCATTGCAATGATAGCTCATTCGGAAAAGCACTTACAAGGAGAATTCCATCACGTGTATAAAACTTACAAGTAAAATAAAGATTTAGTCTAACGGCCGATTGGCTTTCGCGACCAATATTGTTTTAGCGAGTGAACTCTGGAGCGGTTTCCATTTTATTTGCCTCATCAGCAGAGTCAGGCTTGCGAAACACATGCTGCAGGGATACCAAATGTTCTTGGCAATGGTACTCTTATCTTATTTCCTATTTAAAGAGCGCCCTTGGCATAAGCTTTTTAATATACAGTAGTTTTTTTTAAGAAGCGGTAACATAACGGAGTGATTTAGGTGGCAGGTTGTGTGCAAGGGCTGAGGAATGAGTGACCCCAATAGAGGGTTACTTGGGGGTCACGGAAGGGCTACAGGGGAGGGAGGAGAAGAAGTGGAGGGGCAAAGGGAGGGAAGAGGGAATGGGTGATGAAGAAGAGGCGGTGAGGCTTTCAGAGAGGATCAAAATGAGGTTCAGGAGCGGGGACTACTCCATCTCAACCATGGGACCGTTTTTAACTCAAACAAATATATATCGCACACACAACTCATCACGCATTGCCGTGGCGCGTCACGACTGAACGCGCACGTTTCCCCCGTCGCGTTGCTAGCTTAGCGACGCGCTCCTAATGGTGATTTCAGGACACCCCAGACGGACTTCTGTCGACGCTGAGCAGCACCGAGACGAGCCACACGCAGACCGGTCTGGAGCCTGGCGTCAAGTACGACGTCTCCCTGGTGGCCATCAAGGACAACAAGAAGAGTCAACCCACCACGTCCTTCTTCAGCACCTGTAAGCGCACCTGGAGGTGTTGCTCTCGTTGTGCTTTCACGTTTTGCGCCGCGTGTTGTAAGACGCGGATGCCCCATGTTTTGTTCCCATGGGCTGGGATTTTTTTTTTTAGTGGGCGGTGGCCGAAAAACGCAGGTTCAGACCCAGGATTTTTCAGGAAGTTGTTTTCGTCGCCGCAAGCTCCCCAAGCACGTGGAGCGAGACGTGGGACGTCGTGCCAAACTAACATGAGTTACAGATTATTTAAAATATTTGGTTGCTAGAAATGTCCACGTGAAAAGCCACTTTGTAGAGCTTCAATTTGTGGCCAGGTCGCTTGTGAAAAAGAGCGACATAGCTAAGTCGGCTTTACCTGGTAAAAAAACTATTTTAGTTTAGTCTTGAGCCCATCTATGGCTCATAAAGAGTAAGGACATTGATGCAGGTTCTGGATACCGCTTCTGATACAGAACTAGGCTGCTGCTGGGCCAGTTAAGGCAGATTCCCATGGGTGGTGAAAACAACGCGTTAAAATACATCTCCCCCACTTCCCCCTTCCTCCCCCAGTGATCGACAGCCCCAAGGATCTCAAGGTGGAGGACGTGAAGGACACCACGGCGCAGCTGTCCTGGACCTCTCCGTCCGCCTTGGTGGACGGCCTCGTGCTCACCTACGGCCCGACCAGACCAGGCGCTCGCAAGACGGAGGTGCCGCTGCAGCCCACGGTGACGGACCACGCGCTGCAGGGCCTGCGCCCGGGCGTGCATTACACCGTCACCCTGCACTCCGTTCGCGGCCCCCAGATGAGCGACAAGCAGATCCAGAGCTTCGTCACCGGTGAGCGGCGGTCGGGACGCGGCGCTCGCGTTGAACGGTTGTTGACGTGCTCGGTTTGTGCCACGTGTTGTTGAGCGGGGTTGTGCATCGTTTTCGTTTCGCTCCCACGTGCTGGGAGCTTCTTCGGGGACTGAAGAATGCAGTGCCTGAAACGGTGCATTTCTCTCTTTCTTTTTGTTGCAATTAATTTTACGGAGATTTGCGTGCCGATGACGCAGCCTAAAATATATGTACGTAGAACTTCTTTCGCACCGTGCCTAGCCAACCGTGCTGACCGGAAGTGCGGGCAATGTAATTATGGAAATAACATTCGTCTGGGTTTGTGGCTCTTGAATGTCAATGGCCTGCTGTGAAGTTTGGTCTAAAAAAATGGCCAGTTAACAGAGTATTCTTGCAATCGAGCTAGACTGTCAGTGAAATAAATCGACGAGTGAATGTAGGATAAGTTTGTCGTCAGGTAATGTGGATACTATTAGATTGTTTGGGGGATGGTGGGGGGGGGGGGTAATCTGTCTCTATAAAGAGGTTCGGTTGTCAACTGTGCAGCAGCTCTGCTCTGACAAAAGGATCAGATGTTGAGTTTTGGTAGCATCGGCAGAACTGACCACGATACTTCTTGATATTGATTTTTGCCTTGCAAACGTTTTGTTATTATAGCGTGCAGTATACTCGTTCTTAAATAGTTTACCTAGCAGGTGTTGCCAAGTCTGAGAGAGAGTTAACCGAACTCAGTTGAGTGTACATTTGTCTGACGTACAATGCAGTGCAGGGAAGGCTAAAATGTGGTAGCATGTGTGTTCTTAAACCGTCAAATGCATGGTAAGATGCCCAATCACAATGTTGTGGTGACCACTCATCCATAAAAGCTCACACTGCACCGATGCAGTACGACACACAACCCTATTGCCTGTGCCACCTGTCCCACTCTCCACATCTGAACACACAAATTATGGTTGATGGGAGTTTGTGACTGCCCACTCAGCAAAAGTGGACATGTCATCAACTGCGGTGGCTCGGAAACGCTATTTGTGGGCACACTGCACCGTGTCAGTTTGCACCTACAGCAACGAATACAAAGTAAAGGAAACGAAGAAGAGATCGAGCTTGCATGAAAATGATGTGATGAAATGGTGTTTCGCTGAGTGTGCATTCAACGGAGGATGATTTCATCGAAAAAAAAACGACATTTGTATGGATGGAATGGCCATTTTTGAAACATTATTAATGTTTAATTGTTTTTTTTAATGAAAATACTGACGCTCGTCTCTAAACTTGTCCTATTTGACCAAAGGGTACCAAACAACCGATTTGGATACAAAAGAATATCTCCCAGAGAGGCCGGTGATAACTCCCACTGCAAGTCCAGTTGATTCGCTGAAAGAGCTGCAGATTTACGACGTCAAGCCGCACAGCATGACGGTTTCGTGGGCGACCATGCCCGACATCTACAACCACTTTGTCGTGCAATACAAACCGTACGGAAGCACCGAACTGCCCTCGGAATATTCCGTGCGCGGCAATGTGACAACCATTGCCCTCAAAGAGCTCCGCGAAAACACAGAGTATGAGATCTCTCTTGTGGCGTCGAGGGGACGGAAGGTTTACAAGCCTCTGAAGGCCAGGGTGACCACAGGTATGAATGGCCTTGCTGGAATATTCCATCCCATCTGCAAATTTGTACTAACGCCATTTCCATTTGCTTCACAGGAAACATTCCAAGGGTTAACGCTTGCATATATATACAATACCTTGACATCTTTTTCCATTCCTTTTCAGGGAATATTAACTGAAAAAAAAACATCCATCGCTGCACCATCTCTCTGCTTTCATGACTTGCGTGGCAGTATATCTTTGCTGGAGGTATCAGCAGTATTTGCTTGCAGATAAGCTTCACGTTTTCCATAACCACTTTCGGTAATTCATTCCTATCGCACACACCTTTGCACCATTAATACAATTGTCTTCAAAATTATTGTCAAAAAAACTTCGTACGAATATAAAACAGTGGCATGGCTACACATTAACATCACCAAAAATATGTTACGGCGAGACATAATTTATTTCTAACATGTTTTGTACATTTTGTTGTAAAATCGTATTTGTCAAGTATTATTTAATTTAAACGTGAAAAGTGAATGCGTGGTAAGTCAATGTTCTATAAGTGATGAAAACTAACCGTTCAATGTTTTTTGGTAGAAAAAGAATTGAAACCCATTGCTGAGACCACAACAGAGTCACCCGTTGATAAGGAACTCTATACCACTGGGATGTGGATGGCAAGAGAAGTTTCAGTGATATCAATACTTGGGGTTCCAACTGATTCAGCAGTTGAATTGCACATAACTAGCATCACATCTGAGAGCATGAAGGTGTCGTGGGTGGTAGATCCAAAAGTCTTTGAGCGCTTCATTGTGCAATACAAGCCAGCTGACAGTTCTGAGAAACCACTCGAAAAAACATTACCTGGCAAAGTTTCTACAGTTGATCTTACAGACTTGAGCGATGATACTGAATATATCATTAAGCTCATTGGGTTTCAGACGAGGAAAGCCCTCCAAGCCACTGGTGGCTCAAGTTAAAACAGGTACATTGTTAAAATATCTTAACATTTTTGTTACCTTGCTACAATATACCATACAATTGGATTGTAACGGAGAGAGTAACATTTAAACTTGTTTTCATTTACTTTGCAGAGGCCAAATACATATCAACTCCTCCACCTGCAGTTGTTGATGAATCTGCAACACCGACAGTAGTTGGGTTACTTGACGCCACCACACGTGCACACCAAAAGGAAGTTTCAGTACAGTCACCATATGGGTCGCCTACAGATTCAGCCGATGAATTGCATATAACAGATATTACCCCATACAGCATGAAGGTTTCGTGGGTCGTAGATCCAAAGGTCTTTGAGCGGTTCATCGTGCGCTACAAGCCCGCGGACAGTTCTGAGACGCCACTCGAAAAAACATTGCCTGGCGAAGTTTCCACAATTGACCTGACAGACTTGAAGGAAGATACCACGTATATTGTTGAGCTGGTCGGTTACAGACGAGGAAAGCCTTCTAAGCCACTGGTGGCACAAGTTAGAACAGGTAATTTTTCAACATTTTTATCTATGTACTTTCCATGAACAGTTCACTTATAAATCTTGACTTAAAGCTTTCGTGACTGCAGGAATTCATATTCTTTGGGTATTTCAGTAAAGTCACGTGGATAGGTTCAAAGAAAATAACAAAAAACTACGACGTTTCGATCACAACACAAGTGGTCGTCATCTTGTGTTGCGATCGAAACGTCGTAGTTTTATGTTATTTTCTTTGAACCTATCTGCGTGACTTTACCGAAAGACCCAATCAATGTTTAACTTATTCTCAGTGCCATATTTAAAATAATACGTTAAACGTGTAACACTCTTTTACCCTTGCATACCTTACAGGGACAGATCTCTTACCTGAAGCAACGACTATTGGCACAACAGTCACTGCTCAATTTCTTGATACCACCACTCAGCTGGCCGTGCACGAAATGTTTGTGCCGTCACCCTTTGGAGCGCCAACTGACGCAGCCGAGGAGATGCGCATTACGGACATTGCCTGTGATAGCATGAGGGTGTCATGGGTGGTAGATCCCCGAGTGTTTACTCGTTTCATTGTGCGATACAATCCCGCTGACCTTCGTGACAAGCCCGTCGACAAATCGTTGCCTGGACATGCATCTACGGTTGAACTCACGGATCTAAGAGAAAACACAGAATATGTCGTTGCACTTCTCGGCTTCAGACGAGGAAAGCAATCTAACCCACTTACAGCGAGGGTCACAACAGGTATCTAAATATATATATTTCGCGTCTATTTGCCATTGTTGCTTATTGTAAAAAATACGTAGCTTTATACAAAAAGTAGTTGCGTTGTGTGCCGATCTATCATATTGCTGTGGATGTACTGGGTTCACTCATTTCCTACTCTGCCCCCCCACATCTCATGTCAGAATCAAAATCTGTATTTATACTGGAGGAATCCGATGAGCCATGAAGCTCTTTTCATTGCCACCACCAGGAAGACATTTCTTCAGCTCATTTCATGTTGCTCCCTTTCTATCTAGATCAACAATTCCCACGCCAGCCCTCTCCCACACGCATGTTAAACAACGAAGGCCAGACATGATACATGACAATAGACACTCATGATGCAGGACATTGTCCAGAGTACCCAGGGAATATCACAATACCGTTATGCAAAATCTACACCTCTCACAAGTTCTGTGTGAGACCTTTATAATATCACTACACAATAATGTAAATACCATACATCCCCATATTCTGTTGTTACACAGCTACTACACTACGTTTACAATGTACACATTCTAATGCCACATGAACCATGTGCCAATTACGAACGCACATGATACTTTGTGCTGCAAACCTTCACTATTCACTAAACAATCTCTTTGACATTCAGTGCACAAACCTCAAACTAAAATCACGTGACTTTCACTCAAGCTACACAAGTTATTCTACACGACACTAATTCAAAATCAGAATCTTTATACTGCAGGAATCGGACGAGCTATAAGCTCTTTTTCACAGATATCCAGTAGGGGCAGGTTCAGGAAGTTACAGCAACAAACATTACAAAACACGATATGAGTGTATTGTATAGAAAATGTAAGAAAATTACTAAAAACAATTATTATTATCTTCTTTGTCAGACGCGACCTGGCCACAAATCATTGCTCACTGAAGTGGCTTATGACGTGGAAATATTATAGCAGCCAAATAATCTAAATAAACATAGAGAATTCATCTTCTTGGTTCTTTCGGTAAAGTCACGTAGAAGGGAAGTAATAAAATAATAAAAATAAGAGAGAATTATATATATTTTTATTATGTTTTATTTTCATTATTTTATTACTTCCCTTCTACGTGACTTTACCGAAAGAACCAAGAAGATGAATCCATGCAGTCACGAAAGCTTTAAATCGAAACATAGAGAATGTTTTTAAATTATAATTCGTGAACACATCCAAGGGCTGAGTCTCTTGGCCATGTCCTAATTTCGCCTCACCCTCCCCCGCCTTCTCCTCATTACACCATCATTAACATCCTACTTGGTAAGTCACGTCCAGCTGTTCCACTTTGGCCACCGATACACCACCAATACCAGGCCATTCGACCACTAAGTGATGGTGACGTCACCACGGCACTTGAGCCAGGCCAGATGCCCTCTCCCGTCAAATTCCAGCAAACGGTTGGCGGTTCCGTCCCGAGGCGCCGCTTTCGGCATCATCCACCATCCCGCATGCCACGTGTCGCTACGCCCTGTTTTGACACCTCACGCCAATCCCATCATTGTCGGCATCGTCACAGTCAATGTTATCACCTCCGCGAGCCCACAATCACGGTGTCATACTGCCTCCCTGTCCTTACCACTTGATATATGTAGTTTTTTTTTATTTCCTACAGAGTGCAAACAGAAGGTGATTACATTGCCTCCAAAGGTTTTACCGGAAGAAGTATCTGGCACAACGGGTTTATACGAGTTGCCCGCTTCCATCACGCAGCTACGTCCAAGTGTAGTTTCCATCGAGTCGACCGAAGGCGTTCCCGTTGTTTCGGCCAATGAGTTGCACATAACGGAAATTGCACCCAATAGCGTCAAGGTCTCGTGGGTGGTTGATCCGAACGTATTTGACCATTTCATTGTGCAGTACACGCCTACTGCCAGTACTGAGAAACCATTGGAGAAAAGATTACCCGGTCAAGTCTCCATGGTAGATCTGCTAGACTTGACTGAAAATACAGAATACACCATTAAGCTGATCGGTTACAGGCGGAAAACGCCCTCCAAACCTTTGATGGCGCTGGTGACAACAGGTATTTGTTTTATTACTTTTACAATGCTAAAGATAAACAACACAAATTTACATGAATATAATTCTGATGCCATCATTGTATGCATTAACTAATCAACATGACTTATCTTTTGCAGACATAAAAGTGGTGACGTTAATGCCAGATGTGTTAATCGAGCAAATACCAGGCACAACAGCTGGATACATATTACCTGAGACCACCAAATATGTCCCTTCAAAGGAAGTTTCAGTTCGGTCAGAATACGGAGCTCCCACTGATTCAGCCGATGAATTGCACATAACGGAAATCACATCAGACAGTATGAAAGTATCTGGGTGGTAAATACTAAACATTCGACCACTCATGGTTCAATTCAAACCCAGTGACAGTCTGGAAAAGCCATTCGATAAAACGATACCGGTCAAGTTTTACGGTAGATCTGGTGGACCTTAATGAATATACCAGAATATGTCATTATACTCCTCGGATCGAGAGGTGGGAAATTCAAGGCCACTTGTGGCTCAAGCTAAAACAGGATTTTGTTACATCACTTGTTCTTTTAAAGAGCTTGTATATGAAATGGATGAATACAATTGACATTATCTCAATCCAGTAGAGGAATACTATGCATGTGTCATTTTCATTCTTGGTTTAAACAAGTCTCAACTGTGTCGGCATGAGAGAATATAATGAATTATACAGGTTATTACTGATTCAACCAAACAGATTAGACGTAATTTCCTCGAAATTGTATTGAATCTGGACACGAAATTGCATGTACCAAGTGCACCTCGTGTAATACTTTGTGAAGGATGTGATCCCTGACATCAATACCCCGTTTTCTACAACTACGCTGTTCTGCGGCAGTAGTTACATTGGGGAAACTTAGCGACATGTTTCGGACCGTGTTCGTGAACATAAGGCAGATCTGAAACACGTAGGACCAATACCTCGGCCGTGGCTGATCATTGTTTCACGCTGTGGGCACACACGAAATGATTTTTCCTAGACGAAGGTACTCTGCAAACCCACTGGCTTTCAGCAAAGATGGTTCATGAAGCCATCAGATATATAAACCCAACACATTTCGACCGAGAAGAAGATAAATACAAACTGAGCAATCATTGGAAGGACGTTATTAACCAGTTTAAGTCATAACTGGCTGTGATGTTTACATCCTACCTGCCGATGTTAGCAGATATTTTCGACTCTCTTGAGTTACA